TAACAACATCATAAGAGGCAAGATCTATCACTCCAAGCTCCTAGAGTGTCTCAAACTCACAAGGAGAATTTATACACCATAAAAACCCTTAATCTTACCCTAAAATCAAACTAGCATAAGAAGAAGTCAATATACGAACTTTATACCTTGAATGAGTTGGAAATGAAGCCAAAAGTCTGGATCTAAAAGTCTTCCTTTGAACCACAAGCTAGCACCAAGCACCATTTTCTTGAAAAGGAGCAAAAACACACCAAAATGCACACTTAGATCTTTCAAACACTCAAAATGAGATTAGGGTTTCCGAAATGAGGCTAGAAGGCAATGGAGGCTGAGAAATGAAAGAGCCTTGAGCTCATAAAGGTGTTTAAATAGTGCATAAACCCTAAAAAGTAGGTTGTGGCACCCTGCTCATTACGTTGGGCGTACTCACCTAGACACGTACCTTTAGCCATACACACATGGGACTGAAATGTAAGCCTTTTCCATTAAGGGCCATTTCTGCCAATATCTTCAAATTGCCATAACTTCCTCATCTTAAGTCCGTTTCCCACGAACCTTATATCGACGGAAGGTGGCGAGAATCCCTACGCTTCTAACAACACAACCAAGCCTTAAAACTTCCCGAACAAAACCCAAAATCCATAAAAGATTGAGTTATCAAATTACGATTATACCCTTGGCCTCCAAAGACACCATCAAACACTTGGATCACTTAAACCATGATGCCCACAACCGAAAAGGGCCAAATCCTTTCTTCCCCAAGGCTTTAAGCCTCATGATAACTGATGATTGGGCCGCAGCCCCGAATAATGAAGCAAATCCAAAATCGAGTGTTACATCGACTATTTTGGACTTATTAGGTCATAACGTGACCATTAGGGGTCACGAAGTGATTACTGAATTGCGGGACTTTTGAGTGTGAATTGATTTTGACTTTGACCAGCGTTTAACCAAGTTTGACTTAAGGGTATTTGGGTTATTTTGAGTTGTAACTGAGACTGGTCATTATCCGATGATTAGGTTACCGTTGAGTTGAGATTCAGAGCTGTGTGTTGTTCATCGATCTTTTTTCAGACTGAGAGGTGAGTTTTCCTCACTGTACTTGCGAGTCGAAGGTACCAAGGCCGACCCATTGGTTCGATAAACTGTTATATATTGATCGATGATATATGAAGTATGCGTTAGATATGTATGAGTATATGATAGCTGATGATAGGAGTTAGACTGGTAGGTCTGTAGTACTACCTGTGATTACTAGCTGTATGACTATCTGTCTGCTGGGTATGCTTGTTATTTGTTATATGTCGACATGTTATGTTGGGGTTGAGACTACTGCTTTGTGCTGTCAGTCAATAGACCAGGGCAATCCAACCATAAGGTTATGGGCCGGGGCATTCCAACCGTAAGGTTGTGGGCCAGGGGTAAACCAACCGGGAGGTTGTGGACTCGATATTTGTTTAATTATCTGTTGTGTGGTGGTAGGGAAATCACTGAGCTTTGACTTACAATTTTAGTTTATTGTTTCAGATAATTCAGAAGACCATGAGAAAGCGAAATCTTTTGCTTTCTAAAAAGAACCGACGGCTGAACCGGGCCTCAACCCCACAAATAGAGTAAACCCTGGATGTAAATTAACCCCCTCTGATTCACCTCTCTCCGCCTCTGCCTCTGTCTCGTTGCGTCTTGCTCTTCAGTTCGATTGAAAAACCGCAACAATCAATCAATCCATCGATCGATCGGAAAACTATGTCGGACGAAGAGCATCAGTTTGAATCAAAGGCCGACGCCGGTGCTTCCAAGACCTACCCTCAGCAAGCCGGTACTATCCGCAAGGGCGGCCACATCGTCATCAAAAATCGCGCTTGCAAGGTTTACTTATTTCTCATAAGCTTCGATCTTTTATGTTCTGATCTCGCTTAGCTGAGTCCTTTTCTCTAGTCCGTGTTAATATCTTTATCTGGTTTGAGTTGATTTGGTTTTGACTTCGAGTGTTAGGGTTTCACTTTTTGTGTATGTTAGATTTAAGGAATGTTTGGATGTGCGCCTGATTATTGCGAAATTTCAGATTGAGTTTTTGGTTGAAAGTGGCTATGATTCCGATATTTTGATAATTTCGTGTCAAAGCATTTAGTTTTTCATTAGAAGCTACAGTAAGGGCTATTAGAGTTGACCATAGGTTATCTGACCTAGATCTATTTCATTGAATTTGTTCTTTTGCCAAACTGTACTCTTTGTTCGTGTCGGTAGTATCAATTGTTCACTGATTGGTAATTGCTGTATGGTGATTTCTTAAGAGTATGTTATCTTGTTAGAAATTTTGTGTTTGATGCATTAAATTGTAACAGGTTGTTGAAGTTTCTACCTCCAAGACTGGGAAGCATGGGCATGCTAAGTGTCACTTTGTCGCCATTGATATCTTCAATGGTAAAAAGCTTGAAGATATTGTACCCTCATCCCATAACTGTGATGTGAGTAATCAATCCACTTTTTTTTTCAGTCTTTTGTCTCTTTTATAAAATTAACTCTTTTTTAATAATATATCTGTTTGCAGGTTCCTCATGTCAACCGCACTGACTACCAGCTAATTGATATCTCTGAGGATGGATTTGTATGGTTCATTCTATTCAAGCTTTGTTAATTGGTATTTTTTGTTCAAGTTATAATAGTAATAGTAACTGATAAGAAAGAAAATCTGTTAGGTGAGTTTGCTGACTGAAAATGGCAACACTAAAGATGACCTCAAGCTCCCAACTGATGATGCTCTCCTGACTCAGGTATGTGGTTATGATGTTCAATTGTATTAATATAGATTTATAAATGTTTTTGGAGATTTGAAGGAGGTGTTTTTTTGCACTCATTGTAGATCAAGGATGGATTTGCAGAGGGAAAGGACTTGGTGGTGAGTGTGATGTCAGCAATGGGAGAGGAGCAGATCTGTGCTCTTAAGGATATCGGCCCAAAATAGTAATCTACTTCTACTAAGTCTATAAATGAATCCATAAACACTTGTTGCTTGCATTATCAGCAGAATGTTTTCTGTTATAATAGTAGCAATCTACTCTACCACCTGGGTTTCGTATTACTGTTTGACTATTATGTTTGGGTACATGAACATAAAGTATTTTTACCTCCTTTTGCTATTTTGGATTATTTGGTCTGAAAAAGGAATTTTTATTTTGATATTATGGTTTTCTACTTGGATTATTTGGTTTAGAAAAGAAACTGCCGTTAATATAATTTATCTGTAGATACATATCACCTTTTCATCCAACAATTAACGAAATTTTTACCTCGTTAAGTCTTGCATAGATAGAGTGGTTGAATTAGTAATAATATCTGTGCAGATAAAGTAATAAACAGAATGGCTGAATTAGTAATGATATTTGTCATCAAATATAAGTCCTTGCTGCTGATGCTGGTTTTATGAAGAATTCCGATGCCTCATGACTTTGGAAAACTTTGAAAAGTTATAAGCGTTAAAACCTGAACTTACATTTCGGCATTTCCTGCAGGGTTGTAGCTCTTTTAAAGTAAATCGAAGAATTTGGTTTGAGTTTTAAGTTAAATTAAAATATAAAATACCACGTCAATAATTGTTCAAAAGGTGTGAGAAATAAAAAAAGTGGGGTAGTTGGGTAATTAGGGACGGCTGAATTCATAAAAAGTCAGATAAGCACACCTATATATCTACGTTCAGTTCAAAAAGAAATACTACTAGCTTAGCCTGCTGTTTCTTTTTTAGTTTAGCCTTTACGTCAAAGAAACACCAGCTTAGCATATCTGATAAGTGACTTAATGCATTCAAATTTATATAACTGTTTCTTTTCACCCAACAGCTGATACAAAAAACACCTAACCCGTGAAGTAGAGATACAAAGTTAAATAAAACCCCTAGGGTTTTATTTATTTATTTTATTTTTTATATAGTTGCTAAAGTATTACCGTTATGGCCCCCCTTTTTCTCTCCTACGGATGGAGGTGCAGTGGTGCACCGTGTACATAGAGCATCATTTAGAAAATCCCGGTCTGGTTAACGTTGGTCCAAAAACGCTTGACCTGGCTTGTAGCCATGTAGGGGCCATCAATTGCCTTGTTTAGGAATTAGGATCCCCGGTCCAAATAAGTCCTTGCTTGGTACAAAAAAGGACCGGTCCAAAAAGATATCTTCCAATTTTGTTGACAATCTTCCTTGTTATATCTCAACTATTGAATACTTAAATTACAATAAATAACATAAAAGCTATATAAATGCATCCTTTTGATTTATTAGTATTAAAATTTGATAACAATATGAAAAATCTAAAATAAGGGACATACCCAAACAGACCCATAATCACATGGTTAAAGTTGTCATGTTGTCTCGGTGTCCTGTTTTTATTACATTAGTTACATAAACCCTACATAAGGCTGTAGTATGAATATTCGACATGTTCAAGGTCTGTTGTCCAGACCAGTTAGACATGACACAAAGAAAAAAAACCCGATCAAGTCCTTTAGATCCGGGCCCTGATATGTCTATCTGCTTATCTCTGTTCTTAACTCCTGTGAATTTCTTTGACAATCGTCGATGACTAGCTTCCAAGTGCATTACGAACTTCAAATATATTGAGGACCAAGGTGTTAGAATTGATAGTTGTGGGTTTATTGTGAAAAATATCCTATAAATCAATGACCATTTTAGTAAATATTCATATTAATCTTTGTCACCATCGTTCTGACCTGGCAAAGCTTATCATTAACAACACTTGTCAAACTCCTTTCACAAAACGTCAAGATTCTCTTGTCACCTCGTCACCTTATCCGAAGATTAACAAAACGATAAATTATTCTGATATTTATTCACCGAAGCTAGGGAAATAAGATGGAATAAAAAAAAGTAAATAAATGTATTTTATCTATAAAGAAAACATTCACCTCACCCCTATAAATCCCCAACTATTCGTGCTAAAGGAAAATAGTACACTGAATCCATATAACAATAGAAATTAAATTAATCTCCAATGGAACACGAAGAAGGTCGACCGAGAAGAGTCATAGTAGCAATGAAGGGACACCCAGGCACGGGCAAAACAACGCTTGCCCGCTTCATAGCCGCATCACTAAGATGCCCACTCCTTGACAAAGACGACATACGTGACTCCACTTCTGCCATCGAAGCAGAAGTGGGGTCACACACTGTTTCTAAACTCCTTAATGATCTTTCTTATGAAGTACTTTGGCGAATGGTCGAGACCCAACTCAGTCTTGGCTTGAGTGTTGTCATTGACTCGCCTCTTTCCCGCAAGAGTCATCTGGATCGGCTAGTTGAACTAGCCGATTCTTTTGACGGCTCTCAGCTTGTTGTGGTCGAGTGCAAGCCAAAAGACGAGACTGAGTGGCGTCGTCGGCTTGAGAATAGAGGGAAAGACGGTTGTGGTGGCAGTTGGCATAAGCCCGCCACATGGCGGGATATGGAGAGGTTGTTGGAGGGATATAACGGGTGCACCGATTATGATGTAGGGGATGTGCCGAAGCTAGTTTTGGATACTACTGTAGCGTGTGGTAAATTTGCAGAGCTTGTTGAGTCTGTTTTGAAGTTTCTTGATGCTTGTGCACATTTACATAAAGTTTCTGGTTAAACTAGTCATATATTAATCGAATATCATATTTTGAGTAAATAAATGTTACTCCATTCGAATGTGTATACTTAGTATAATTAAATAATTATTGTGTGATGGTTTTATTACGATTCATTTCCCTCGTGTTTTCGAGAGCAATGTTTATTTTCTTGGGCCTTTTTTTTTAATTAAATTGGTAGTTCCAATTTCGTTTTGAACTGCTAAAATTGAAGGCCATTATTAAAACGATTGATGTTCTAACCTTTTTTTTTTTTTTTGGTAATTGATGTTGAATGCTTTGGCAAATAAACCGATCTATCTACAAGTTAAATATTTGTACAAATCATAGAAACATTGGGTTTGCGTTTATCAAGAGAAGTACAAAGCTTATACATAAAAGAAAACCCCGAATGAGGAGCAAAATGGACCAAAAATCTTAAAAATGAGAACCAACAATAACAATTGTAAGAATTTGAAGACCAAAATTGGAAAACTAAACTATACTGAAGGACCAAAAATGTCATTTACTCGTTCCCGCATAATGCAATGATGCATTGTTGCCCCTCGAAAGAAAAGGAGTTCTTTGGGGCATTTATTCGAACACCTTCCATCCCAACTTCAGCAGTCCCCACCAATTTCATAGAGGAGAGGCCGGAGAGAGGCAACATGAGCTCTAGTTCTCCTGCCCCCTCATCGCCGCAGCGTCATCGTGGCGGTGGCGATGGCGATAATAGTAACAGCGGGAAGGAGGAGAGACCGAGATTCTTTGACTCCATGACCAAAAAACTGTGCTGGGCCAAAGCCGATATTGTCCCTGGACGACACCCGGAGCGATGGCGTAAAGATGCCGCGGGCAACGTCGTCTGTAAGCGCTTCGGCAACTGTCAGGGATGTCTCTGCTTTGAATACGATCACATCATCCCCTTCTCGAAAGGTCTTTACAACTCTGTAAGCTTCTCAAATATTTATCCGCTTTTGTGATGCATAGCCTTTGATGCTTAGGGAGTTGTGGAAGAAAATCTATCAAAATTTGTAGAAGCTAAAATTGTGTGATTGATTTTGTAGGTGGTGAATCGGTAGTTGAAAATTGTCAGATTCTTCAAACGAGGGTAAATAGAACCAAGTCGGACAAGGATCATCTTGACAAGACACAGTTGCGTGGTTACTCTTGCGATATCAATTTCACTGGTATTTCTTCTCCCTCATTAATTTAAAACAGGATCCATTGTAAGCTTTAGTAATGATAGCCAATACTTCCAGAGTGTACCTATAAATGCATCAATAGTTCATATGCTGAAATGGGGCTATGAGTGAAAGCTGATTAGTGTATTGTCCAGGGAGCTTCAAAGTTTGAATATTTAATGGTTACTGTGTTCAAAACTCGAAAAATGTTCCTCCTATATGTGTATGCACCTACCTTGCAAGATAAGATGATATATTATGATGATAAGGATAAGTCACTCAAACTTCTTTTGAAGAGGCTTAACAACTCAACTTTTAATTCTGTTCCAATTTTGTGATTTTTTTTTTAATTTTTTTTTTATTTTAACAAACTGGGACATTTTCATTAAATATAATCAAAGTTTCACACTTGTTTCACCTAGGTCACTACTTAAACTTCTTTTGAGAGGTTTAAGTACCCAATCATTTTTAATTACCCTAGTGCACATCATTATAAAGTTGAGCGATGCCATCAAGTGAAAACCAGTTTCCAGGTTTAAAAAAAAAAGAGTTCATGTGTCCACTTTGTATAAAAGATTTCATGTTTGTACTATACATAGAGGGAAGATAAAATTTTTTGTGGTTGTCCTTTTTATGTTTTAGAACATTCATTTTTGGATATTTGGAATAAAACTATATATATTACAATGGCATTGTGTGCATGCCCCTACAACCTCATTGAAAAACACATACATACACCATATGCAAACAATTATCTTTTATGCTCAGTTTTCCCAAGAAGCATTAGCCATATTGTATTCACGGGGTATATTAAGCAAAAAAATTTTGTTTTGATTCCCTACACAACTACTATAGTTATGACCTTGCTATAATCATATTGTTGGTTTTCAAATTCTAGAAATACTATGATTTGATGTTTGTATAAAGGGATTATTACGACTAAAAGTAGCAATCATAAATTGAACTGTGTTGAGATAATATCCAAGGAAAAAATGCTTATTTTATACAAAGTTAACTGACTGTATTTACAGAAAAGGAGCTGGACATTATTGAAATGGCGGTTTATGGCGATGTAATTCGTCCGGGGAATCAATGTCGTTGCAGAAGCATTGATGAATTGCTTGGCAAGTACAAGCCTAAAGACCATACACCTGTCTGTACGTTGCCTTGAGACAGTCATCTGTTTTTTATTTTTTATTTTTTATTTTTTATTTTGTGGGTGGGTCCCATTCCCATCTTTATTTCAAAGTAACAAAAAATGAGCTAAAGATATTCATAAATCCATTATTCATGTAATGAAAATACTCGGATCGTATCGTATGATTCTTGTTGGTCTTTGTTGTATAAGTTTTGTCTGCAAATTTGTATCACAGATACACCCTTTGTGCTTTTGATATTTTGCCCGGATTCTCAATTTCCATAACATCTAACATCTTCTCATAGTGGCTATTTTTGTTCCTCATTTTATGCATTGAACAATCAACATCAACCTTCATTTTCAACTTGGTTTGTTCATCGAGGTACCTCTGAAGCTTTACTTGATAATATTAGATCAACAATGGAAAAGATATCAATTGCAGCTTTGCTACCATTTACATATGTTTCAGAATAATGAAAATGCCTCATTTTATTAAATTCTATTATAAATCTGATTATGACAAAAACAATTTCTTCAGATTACTCATGAAAAATATTAAGGTCTGTTTTCTTGCAGTTGTATGTATTTTGAGCATGTTAGAGTATAATGTGGATGTGTTTGTGGGAGTGAGTGTGTGTGTGGGGGGGGGGGGGGGGGGGGGGGGTAGGTGTTTATATTTTAGAAAAATTTTGGAATCAGAAAAATATGGATAACAATGATTATCGGTTTTCCAAAAATTTCCAATTTCTTTGTGATTAGAAAACGGGAAATTTTCATTTTCCGTGAAAAAATTTAGAAAAATAGAGGAACTAAACACGTTTTCAAAATTCTCATTTTTCTTGGAATTTTTTCGGAAAATAGCCTATTTTTCCGCAACTAAACACAACCTAAGGAAAATTTTAATTTTTTGTATATTCAACAACTGTCTTTCGACCTTCACAAACTGTTATTCCCAACTTTTTGTATGTTTTTATTATGGTGGTATATTGTTGAATATTTGGAAACATATGATTTTTCCAATGACAATTGTTGAAAAAAATGACTTTAAGATGAAGTTCAACCTATATTCTAATATCTCACTTACAGAAAGTGATAGACTTTAGATATGTTTGTTTTGTGCACCATTTTCACTCAATTTCCGTCCGGACATATAACATTTCTTACACAACTTTAGTGTAAACGAATAATATAAGGCCAAAATTGGTGTTATTTTATTCATTTACATCAAAATGTCGATAGAACTTTTAGTTGATAACTTTACCCCCTCCAAAATCTCGATATTTAGGCTTATATGTTTATAATTTTTTTAATTAACTAGTTATAATTTAAAAGTAATAATTATTAATTGTGATATCATGTTATATATTCATTAGTATTAATTAATCATAAATATAATATTTAATCTTGTTGTTAATTTTTCTTTGAAAAAGTTCGATATATTTTATAAAATTTAAACACGGTAAATTTTATATAACTCTTTTGATTAAAGTGGATGCAATGCATATTTTGTTATAGTTTTGTGATAATATAATTTATAAAGTTATTGTAATAAATAAGATGTAATACATATTTTTAAAAGCTAATTAATAAAAATGAATGTCTTTTTATATAATCTATATAAGTTATATAAAAAGAATATATTGGGAAGATACTTTTTGATGTAAAAAAATGATATATAATTAGAGATGAAACATTTTTACATCATATTTTGTACACAAACTTATAAAAAATGGTGCTATGAACATTAAGGTTTTTTTTTTTTTTGTAAGTTCAAGTTGTTTCACTCCTAAATCTAGCAAACTTGTTTGTTATGATGCAACATCTCATCACATATTTTTAGTTTTTTGCCTAGTAAGATGAAAGTGTTCGGACTAAAATTCATACTGATGGACGAATTACCAAGACCGGTCCAATAGTTTTTTCATGTCCTGGATGAAACGATATAGTGGCTACATTTTTTGGTGTTTATCTACTTCGAACCATTACAATACATAGATTTAGAAAGCATCATTGTAACAAAGCTTTATATTTAAAAAAAAAAACATATTCATACAAACAAACTTCACCAAAAACAATGAAATGTACAAATTCCATAAATTGAACGGATGTCCAAGCCATAGAAACCCCACTTTCCAAAAAAAAAAACATGAATATGAAATCCTAATTTACCTTTTTGCACCAAACAATCAACCATAAACATGACTTCTATAAGTGGTTTTTAATAATTGAAACAATAAGCTATTGGAAATTAAACAAAACAATTGTAAAGTTTCAATCATTAACCAAACAAAAGTAAAAACCAATACTAATTTTTCAACTGACTTTGAAAGTTGAAATATGCTAAAAACAACAAAATTACAAAAGTAACACCTGACAGTTAAAAACAATAAACAATTACAATTTACAAGGTATTGTTACTATGATCACTAAAGCAATAAACAATTACATGTATGGGTAACTAATTTTCGACTCATGGTTTTAGAGCTTAATTTCATTTTTTAACCTTGATCCAAAATGCCAAAATCTACAACTAGGTACGAAGAACTTGAGTTTTTCAAATAAAATTTTAATGTGAATGAATAATCACTTAATTTCGATTTAACCTTGATGGTTTTTAACCGCCTTGCTAGGCATTAGCCCTTTGCCGGATCAATCGTGACTGGAGAATCTTAGCCCATAAAGAAATAGTTTTGACCCAAAACAACTGCCCCTTTAGAATGATGATATGGGTCATGGCCCAAGTCAACCATGCCTTGCCGTCGAATTACGTAATTCAAGGATAAAAACTTATAATACCTAACACCCTAAGGGTCGTTTGTTTACCATTTAATTGCAAAATTAAGAGGCAATGTCTTAAATTTCAGATTCAGAGCGTTTGTTTGCGTATTATATTTTACCTCTTAAACTTAAAAATACCTCTTATTTTTTCAGATGTTAAACCAAGTCTGAAAAATAAAAGAAACACGCGTTCGTTCTATTTGCCCTAAATCGACCGCATCCTTTCTTTCCTTCCCATAGCGTCTGCTGCATCGCATCTTCTCCCCTCCAGTTCCGACGCCTGCGACTGCTCCCACCGACGACGCCAACGACGCCGCACACCGACGACGCCAGCAACGCCGCCAACCTCCGCCGCCGCAAGGTCTTCCAGCTCTAATCTTTCTTCCGCCCACTGCATCAGGTTCGGTTTCTTCCTTCTGTTTCTTCCTTTTTTGCCCTCGAATTCATTGGTCTTGTTTGTTCCTTCTTTCCCTTCAAAATTGAAAATCAAAAATCGAATTTATTATGCTATAATTTTCTGATTTGTTAGATCAAAATTAATAGTTGATGTTTTGCTAGATTTTGATGTTATATGCTCCATTATGATGTTATATGCTCGATAGTGATGTTATATGTTCCAATCTGAATGTGTTCAATGGATATGATCAAATATTGATGCTGAATTTTGATGTTATGTTTGATTCAATGTTGATGCTGAATGTTGATGCTGAATTTTGATGTTATATGCTGAATTTTCATGTTATATGCTGAATTTTGGTGTTATTTTGAAGTTATGTCTAATGTTTTCATAAGTATTATGCTGACATTTTGTTGTTGAATTCTTACTTCTCTTTGATGTTCATGAAATATCCATTACTTTTGCTATTGTGCATTTGTTTTGTTGAAGTAATTGTTGATAATGTGCCTTTATATTGCTTAAATTGTTGTTGAAAATGTGTATTTGCAATGCTTAACTTGTTGCTAAAACATACATTTTTTTGTTGAATTGATCAAAGAAATGGGAGAAAAGAAGTATAGGATTAGTTGGAAGGTTGAAGGTGTAGATAAAATGTTTCTAGAAGCTTGTTTACGTGAAGTTACGGTTAATGGACGGGAAGGGAGTAGTTTGAAAGCACTATCTTGGAGGAATGTTGCTGAAACATTAAAAATTGAACATAACTTTATTGCCGACCAAAAACAAATGAAGAACCGCTATGACTACCTAAAGTCAAAGTTTGGTGCTTTTTTGAAGTTAAAAAACAAAACCGGCAATGTGTACAATTCAACAACCAACACCTTCAATCTTTCCAAAGAAGAATGAGAACTAGAATCGAAGGTATTTTGTTTAGTTATAAAAAATATATTATCATTTTTAAATAATAAAATATTTGTTCCAAACAGTCAAACAAACATGTGGATTCTTTGAGACGCACGCCACTACCGTACCCCGACCTTTGCACACAGTTGTTAGAAGGCGCGACTGCGACAGACATTCATAGTTGGGGGCCAACTTCTACCCTTCCCCGTCCTAATCAAGAGTCAAGCTAGTATAGTTTGCATGACTTTGATGAAGGCGCGACTGCGACATGCATTCATAGTTGGGGGCCAACTTCTACCCTTCCCCGTCCTACTCAAGAGTCAAGCCAGTATAGTTTGCATGACTTTGATGACATTGATTGCACTCAACAAGAAACTGTAGGTCTCAGTGACGAGTCATCCGCTCATGAGCTGATGCGTCTTTCACGTGAAGCATATGTATTTTTATGTAATCATTTTAGACGAAACAATTGGTTGCAAAGTAGTAGACATATAAGCGTTGAAGAAAAGATGGCTATGTTCTTGATAACTATAGCACATAATAAACGGTTCACGATTATCAAACGAAGGTTTCAACACTCCACAGAAATAGTTCATAGATGGAACTCTTGTACATGCAGTCGTGCCTGCTGATCAACAAACTCGCTATAGGGGAAGAGGAAAAGGTGAATGCTTTCAAAATGTTTTAGGAATTTGTGATTCTGATATGATATTCACATTCGTATGGGCCGGTTGGGAGGGTATAACACATGATTCGCGAGTTTTGAAAGAAGTTGCATGTAACCCGACTTCAGGCTTTCCGTTCCCTCCTCCAGGTTTTTAATTCTTTTTAAATTTATTCTAAAATACGATTTTAAATTTCTATATATAATACTTCCTTCACTCATGTGTATAGATAAATATTACCTTTGCGATGTGCATACACTAACACTCGTGGATTTATGACTCCTTACCGCAACATAAGGTATTGGTTATCCGATTATCGACGACGACGTGCGTTAACTAAGGAAGAAAAATTTCAATCATGCACATGCGCAACTCAGAAATGTTATTGAACGTGCTTACGGTGTTTTGAAGGCGAGATTCTCAATCCTAAAGCGAATGGCTCATTTTCCTTTTTCAGTGCAAAGAGATATAGTCGTTGCTTGTTTTGCAGTCCATAATTTCATAAGGAAATGCGATATTCATGATGAGTTATTTATGGCGTTCGA